TCTCTCATAGTTTCCGAGATAATCGCGAAAAACGAAAAGGCTAAAGAAAAATAATTTATTTGATCTTGTACAGTCCGTAGGAAGAGGAAAAACGCAATTCTGAGCCGTCCATCTGCCTATAGGGAACCGAAATTTCCTCAGGAATCGAATGGAGTTGGATTTAAGGCGCTATCTCTCATAGTTTCCGAGATAATCGCGAAAAACGAAAAGGCTAAAAAAATAATTTAGAGAGCTTCGATTAAGTATGGGCAATAAATATATTCTAGTCTCAGATTGGAGTTTCTTCGGAATTAAGGTACTTCCGCAGTAAGTATACTTGGTGAAAATTTCGAAATGGTATAAAGACGCAATATTTGGATCATATGTTGTTGACCACATTAAAAAGATATTCCCAAAATTTCAAGTCCCTGGTCCACCCCATTTTTGAGATATGCATCGCCAAACATTCAATTTTTGTGTTTTTTCCATTTTTGACGATGTATATCTCGAAAATGGGGTGGACAAAGTACTTGAATTTTTGGGAATAGTTTTTGAATATTCTCAACAACATGATCCAAATATTGTGTCTTTATACCATTTCGAAATTTTCACCAAGTATACTTACTGCGGAAGTTCCTTAATTGAAAGATGCATTATCAAAAAACTAATAAGAATATTTTTTATTGCAAGGTGTGTCAGCAGATAACGAAAGCACCAGTGTACATGATTGATCATATATGGGTTAAGCACTATGGAGGCAGTTTCAAGTGTCCTCATTGTCCCGGTTACTTAGAACGATGGAGATGTTGCATAACGAGACATGTGGCTCTCATGCATCAGGATGTTATTGAAGCAATAAATGGAGAAGGCAGAACTTTGCCATTATCTTTACGAAATGAGAATGCATTTCTGAAGATAATGGATAGTTTAAATAAGCAATGAATATTTTTCAACGAAATCTCTTGACGAAAATTTTTTTAAGTATTTTGCAGTGAATTTTTCTTGGCACTTCAGTGAAAAATTTAAGAAGGAAAATTTAATAACTAACTGACGTCAAGGAATTTCCGTAGAGAAAATGTCGAAATATTTCTTGAGGGATTTTTGACGGTGTTCTGTTTCTGATAGAAAAGTATAATCAAAAACCCAGGAATGACCACTGACTAAACTCTCTAGCTAGAAGGTTAGCAAAGATATTGGAGCTGTTGCTTTTTTTACTCTTCTAAAACCTGAATTTTTTAGTGCAATTACAAGAGACTAATCATCTGAAAAAATTGTTAGTTAAAATATTGATTGTCTCAATTTAAAAAAAAATTGTGTACTTCAACTTTTTATCCTGTAAAAATTAGAAATAAAGTTTTAATCGTCGATTTTCAAGTGATTCCGACTTATTTTTATTCTCCTTTCCTCGGCAAAATTCTGAATATTTCCTAACTGACCCATAAACTTTTGCTTTCGAGTGGAAGCTTTGTAATCGTTCAAATTTAAGTTTCGGACTTATTGTTTTATATCAACCTATTGTGATCCAAAAAGTCCTAACATACTATTTTTATTGTACTTTTTTTTAATTATTCGCTAATAAATCGACGGAATTGAATCTTTTTTTTCACATGTAGGTCTTGTTGAGCCCTATCCATCGACATGAATTCAAATTTCAGAACTTGACGGAAAACTTGAAAAATTAGGGAAGGATACACCAAAATGGACACCTTCGATTTTTTACAATTATCATAACTTCTAAATAAATTTATCAATTAAGCTCACCTTAACCTAGCGAAATCAATTTATTTCAGATGAAAAGAAAATTATCTTTTTCATTAACAATTCTGTAGCGAAGTGGTAAAACGGTACAAGTTAATCTTGACTATTGGTCAGTTTTCAATGAATATCTCGGAATGGAAGAGAGATAGAAAAATTTTTGTTAGAACTTTTTTTGTAGAGCCGATTGAGAGCTATAACAAATGTAATTGCAAAAAATTCGCTATCTCCCTTAGATTCGGAAATATTTCTCAAAAACCCAACTGGGAGATAAGTCGAATTAAACCGCTTTACCACTTCGCTGTTGAATTCAATAAAGTGATTAACATTCCTTATAATTACACCGTGTCCATTTTGCTCCACACGGAGAGAAATATTCAATCAAAAATACGTATCTTTTCCGTAATTTCGGAGCGAAATGTGCTTGTAGGAAATTTTACGGAACTGTCGCGGAATTTTTCCAGAGCGTTCCGTCATTTTTATTTGCATCTCCTGTGAAAAATTACGATACCCTCACTTAAATTTTCTGAGTCGATTCCGTAATCGGTGAGCGGATTGTGAGTTCCGTAATTTTTACTGAACATTTCCCTCCATGCACTCACGTATGAAAAAATCCTGTAGAATTTCCTATAGGATTTCCTATAGGAAATCCTATGGAGAATTCGAACATTTCCTATAGGATTTTTCCGGTGGGATTTCCTACAGGATTTTCTATAGGATTTTCTATAGAATTCACTATAGGGTTTTCTATAGAAAGTAACACAGAAAATTGAGACTCGAAACCAATCGGTCACAAGGGTCAGGTTAGGGTCACAAATCTGATAGGAAATTCTATAGGGAATCCTATAGGACATCCTGTAGGAAATCCGATAGGAAATCCTATCAGAAAAATCCTATAGGAAATGTTCGAATTCTCCATAGGATTTCCTATAGGGAATCCTATAGGACATCCTGTAGGAAATCCGATAGGAAATCCTATCAGAAAAATCCTATAGGAAATGTTCGAATTCTTATGGCGAGTAATTTCTATCATGCAATTCGTAATAGGTAAAGTTGTTAACAAATTATACTCTTACATCCAGAAAGACATTCATTTATCTCCCCTTCCCAATTTTTTAAAATGCAGGTAGTCATTTGAACACTGCTGAAAGGCCCAGTTCGGCCGAGAGTGGAAGGAATGCGCCACTACTATCCCTCTCAACAGATGACAGTTGCGATTATTTGAGGTTACTTTTCGAGCAGTAGCGATATAAAATGTGCAATTAGCCAGAATCTAACGGGAGGAAAACAAAAACAGACAGAGAACGTGAAGTAGACAAGGTAATTTTGCTAATTTTCGAAAGTCTATTTGTATCAATAAAAATATCCGATTTTAATTACATAGTTAAACAGAATACACACGCTAATTGCACGTTTGAAGAGCACGTTTTCTTCGTTTACAACTTATTCTTCGGCACGTGAAACCCACAGACTTTCATGTCATTTTTTTAGTAGGGGAGGGTAGGGTAAAATGGACACTTTTGACTTTGTTTTGAAATATTCATGACGTGTTGAATTTTTTACAAAATGGAATAATTTCATTTTTCAATTGAAAAACAATGATTCCTCTTTGTGATAAGCTTAGGCTGAGCTCCATTGATCAATCTGTTTCTGAGTTATGAATATTTTTTAAAAAGTCAAAAGTGTCCATTTTACCCCATCCTCCCCTATTTTTATTATCTCAGTAAATATACGACTTTCGTAAAAATTCCCACACGTGTAAGGAAATTCCATGAAAAATCCCTACGTTTCGTGTAGTTACAAAAACAGTGAGAATGCCGATTTATAAGAAACAAACAGCGCAATTTGACTGAGGTGGCGTGAAATATCCTTCCTCCTTCGGACTGCCAAAACACAATTTGTTGCTGTTTTTCATCACGCACGAAAAAATTAAATAGAAAAACCTAGCGAATTCGTTAAAAAAATCTATTAGATTTCTATTGAACTTTCTATTAGTTTTTGGCAGATTCTATTCAAATATTCAATAGAAAAATCACTAGAATTCGATTTTTTTATGTAACTTATTCTCTTCAGATATTTTCTATAAAATTTCCTCGCCTCAAATTTTCTAAATTTTTTTCATTTGATTTTTCTTTTCTTCTCATCAAGATAATCAAACAAACTTTGAAAATTTAAGCCCAGGAAATTCTGTAGAAAATATTTCAATGGAATAAGCTGTATAGAAAAATGGAGTTCTTTTGACTTTTTCTATAGAATATTTTTTATTGAACATTTCCATAGAATCGACCAAAAACTAATAGAAAGTTCAACAGAAATGCAATAGAATTGTCTAGCCAATTCGCTAGGTATTTCTATTCAATTTTTTCATCCGTGATTCGACAATTTAAAACCAAAGTCATCAGCTACCCAATGGAACCATCAGAAAAGACCTGGGAGAAAAACGACAAAGTCCTCAAACAAGTCTTACTTGTGCCGAGAATATATTTTTTTGAAAATTATCAAAAAAGGATTTTTTTGTGCCAAACATGTAGAGAGTGCGCTGGAATGAAAAATTTTTGTCGCAAAAATAGATTTAGTAATTCAAAAAAATTTGCATTCTCCGTACACGCAAGAAAAGTCATTTCCAGCACTACTCCTGCGTTATTCGATACTCCCACACCACGTTTCAACCGTTTCATACGTTTTCATACATATTTTGCTCCCGAAAAATCTTTGTTTTATGCGAAACAAGGGATAGTAATTTTTCGTTTCGGCTATCTAATAATCGCAAACAAGAAATGAACACTTAAATGAAACAATAATAATGATATGATAGCCATCTTGTAACTTAGGGATAAAATATTTGTTGATAAATTTCCCTCTATATATAGATATAGAAAATATATGAGACATTTTCATCCTGAAAAGGCACCATCTGGTGTGAATTATCCGCCTCTTGAGCCAAATATTTCGTTGCTGTCGAAAGCAGAACAATTATTGATGTCTGAGACTTTCAAATTCGAACCAAACAAATTCTTTTTTGGCAATTTTTCAAATTCATTCAACTAGCGATTTTGTTGGCCCAAACCAGACTTGTTTGACGTGTTTGTTTTTCTCTCAGTGTAGTTTCTCCATGGTCGAGGAAAATTCTGTAATTTTTTATAATGAAGAGAAAACAAAACTAACGTTTTTCATAATTAATAAAAATGCGTTGGGTAATATTTTTTCATTCAATTCAATAGATATTTCCTTCAATATTTTTAATTAAATTATCAACTATCTCGAGCACAATATTACAAAGGAAAATTTTGCATTTCTTATTATTAACAATTTATATTGGATGTAATAAAACATACCTGTTTTCTTTAATGTTTTCTTTAATTCTTTAATGCCTAAAGGAGGTTAGGCGGTGTATGAGATGAATTTGAGAGTGAATTTCTGTGGTTCCCGGTAGCTTAGTCGGTAAGAGTGCCCGGCGCGTATCTGGGAGACCCGGGTTCGATTCCCGGCTGGGTGAAGCGGAAATTTTTTCTCTCTAAATTCTAATTCTCTTAGA